CGATCTCTTGTTAATTCCACCTTTATCAGACAATTCTTCAGCAGAACAAAGAAGTGAAAGTGAAGGGGAGGATTCCTTTATCAATGAATCTCTTATTTCACTGAGTAGTGCTAGCGAGTATCTACATCAAGAGAGTGTCGAACCTTTGGCGACAAAAAAGGCTCTATTAGATGAGTCTGTGAGTGGAAAGGAGAATGGGGAGACAGACAAAAACCTCTTTGATAATCTCGCAACAAATACAGGATGTTTCGATCAAATGAGTGCAAACAAACCAACGCACCATAGAAAAATGGTGGAGGCAGTGATATCAGTGTCACAAGAAGTGTCTCATCATGACTGCTGCATCGAGCAAGTTATTCTCAATAAGTCTGACTTTGCATATCCGGCCACGGATGTGCAAAATTACAAGACTGAGAAGGTGTTTCGAGTCAAGGGAGATCCTAACTTCCCATGGAGTGGTTCTGCTTCAATGACACAAAATGATGAACGAAGAAGACGGGTCAAACGAACATCCGGTAGCAGCTCTGTCTTGACAGTCAACGTAGATTTAATCGCCTCACCGGAGGTAAACTTCTACTTTTTACTAATAAGCTCTACAGAAACCGTTTGCTAGTAGGCAGTAGGTTCATAAAATCATGTGGAAATACACTACTGGAGCCGGCGGATATTGACTTTAAAAGAAAAAAATAACCTGAGGGTAGTCATCGTGACTACTCAAACTTGACCTAGGCCCACCACCTTGACGAATTAAAAGTAACCACGATAAAGCTAAATGTTCCCGTTACGAAAGTGGGAAAGTAATTACTCTTTTTGATGCAGTGAAATAAAATAATTGCTCACCTTCAGTACCGCCATAATGAAATCTGACAGCACAACCAACTTCATTTCGAGCGCCTGATGCATTGATCAAATTGTCATTCACTTTCCCTGGTGAATGTGTATTTTATTTTCACTTCTGCATGACTATCGCCTTCAATAGGAGACTTGTGCAAAAGTATTTTAAAAAAGGGAAGTTAAAACTATGGGCTTTCACGTCGACAACTTCGCCTGCTTGTCACCTCATTTCTTCCTTAAGAAGGCGGTTCGTAGTGATTTCGACGCTTTACAATTCATCCCAATGAAGATGAAGTCCTGTCCCGGCTGACTAATCAAACTTGGTAATAAATAGGGCGCTTATCGGATTGCAGATTTCCAGCAACATTCAGAAAGCCACATTATGATTCCTTGGACAATCGCTTTCAGTTTAACTTCGTTTACAAGTCACTTCCGTTGGTGGAAGGCACTGCTACTATCCAACAAGCTCTGGACCACTCCTTACAGATTTACAAAGCTGTAAAGTCAAATGACAAATGAACAAGTAGTGCATTAGACAAATTTTCTTACAATAAAAACAAAAGCAGTGATTACTTTAATCATAGATTAAAATCCGCGTTGACGAGGCAGAATTGGATCCATTGCTGCACCCGCTTGGTAGTAACCTGTGAGCACTTCGAACCGGGAACCCTAGAGACATTGTCACTAGTATGGCAGAGGTTAGAGGGCTCCAAGCAGTTTGTTCATTTGTGGTTCTCCACCCATCTTCCTTTGCTCGTGCCGCCTTTCAATGCTTCTGGCTTCTGATGTCTCAGGCATCTAATCCACCCAAACAATTCGAATTTTCCTGATATTCACTGCTGACAATGACCATAAATAAACACTTCCTCATAATCTATAAGCCAAGTGAATGGCGGCTTAACTCGACTGTCATTCGTTTTCTGATGCTTTGTCACGGATGTGGTTCCCCTTTTAATGTGACACAAGTAAAGTTGTAGCCTTTAACAATTTGGTAAAAAAGAGGGACACTACTGAAAAAAAAATTTTACTCACCAACAAACTCTCAAGCCATTGAATGTTGGTGTCAAGAGCGGTAGTTAGAATTAACTGTGAATAGAGACCCTCAAATAGGACCATGCATATTGTTGGAAGTGGAGAGCGGCAGTTATCAGTCCTCCTGATTGTAAACATTATTCTTCACTTTTTGTTTTAAGAGCAAAAATACAGGACCATCTCCATCGATGAGAACTAATTTATCAGCTCCACAAGGATGCTACAGTGTTTTTAAAGGTATAAGCAATTTCTTTGACTATTATCGCTGCGTTTTCATCCCTCATAGAAAGAGAATCTTCCAAACAGGGACTGCTGATTCTACCAGATTATGGTCCTTGCAAGCACCAGATAGCAGCAACTCGTAGGTTACGAAATTGCTTTGCTGAAGCACTTTGTTTAGCGTGCTACTTGTTCCGAAGGACTACTCCTGAAGACACAGCGAGAGAAGTTGCGCAGTTCAGAGAGGCTATCTCAAAGTTAAATTCTCAATTTAGAAATGCTGGAATAACCACTAAGGATGTAGCTCGAGAGCTAAGGCAGAGCTTCCGAGGAATTATTCTGACAATACGATCCCGTCTTAGCTCTGAGAAAGGCATTATATGCCGGAATTCCACAAAAGCTCTGGGTGCTGCCCTCATGCAATGTGTTGAGCAGTTTGTACACATAGTGGACGATCGGGTTATGCGTTATAAGTGGCTGGAAGCCTGGGACAGGGGCTGTCTACTGCGGCTCAAAGCGGACTTTATACGCTACCTGTATGAAGCTTTTCCAGCTAATTTGACCTACCAGCTGAAGTGTCAAGAAGCCTACAAATGCGCGAGGCTCTTCTTCTTGGAGAATGGTTTACAAGATAAGGCCGAGTGGGTCTATCTCCAAATGAACTATGCCACTTTCCTTTACATGTTGGGTAATAGAAGTACTGCTCTATTTATAAACGAAAGACTAATCAACTCTCTGATTGTTCGCCGATGTGGAAAAGCTATTAAGGCAAAACTGCAGTTGAATCTTCAGTTTTACAGCAAACCGTGGTAGTGGGCTCTCCTTCCCTGTATTGAGATATTTTATTAAATCAAAGCAATCACAGTTATTTTTCAGTGTCTATTTTTATCAGAGATAACTTAATACGCTACGTTCTTAAAGGAGACATGAGTTCAAGACTTTTTTATCTGAACAGAAACTCGACAGCTACTGAACTTTTGCTCTGCCTAACAAAGAGGCAGAACTTTATTTGCCGTGAGAGCTTCTCAGCACATTCTGGATGATTGTTCTCAATAAAATTTACAGTCAATAAATGATAAAAACTAGTTTAATCTTTTTATTGAAGAGCACTTGTCACACTATTCTTGCCTGCTTGGTTCATGTTGATGAACCAAGGTTTGCCAAAGTGGGTCACAAAACCTGCATATTCGTGCAACATACAGATCGAATGCCTTGCGGAACACTCCTCGAGTGTGGTGGGTTTCAAAGTTCTGATCCCCACCCAATGGCCACTTAATCAACTGGTGTGCTGTATAAAGACATATCAGGAAATGGAGTCAAAGATCTACGCAATGTTAACTACTGTTAGCATTACCCTAGTTAATTTCTCTCCACTCTCCACAGACCTTCTGAACCAAATACCCTTTTACTTGGCGAGTCAATAAGTTTTAGTGAAAAGCCAACCGTGAAAGATTCCATGATGAAAACACTCAAGTGATCCTGCTTGCAATCACCAACCACAAAATAAAACATCAAGATAACCAACAAATGAAGCATTAAGGCATAATAATTTAACACTCGTACAAATTTCATAAAGACAAACGAAGACATGACAGTGGAGTAGAACGTGTATTTTTGATATAGAGAAGCGATCGAAGCTAGTGGAATGGTCGGGAAGCAAGGACAAAACGCTAAACCAAGTGTCTGTAATTGAAACCAAGCATTAAACAAATAACCTCTTCGTCATCAAGATGTCGGTCTCAAAGCCTCGGCGTTAGCAATAGAAAACATCCAACTGTCAAGTGGTT